ACCACTTCGCAGTTAGAAAAGCCCAACTGCTAACCGGTCATGTGAACTGACAGGTAGGAAGCCAATGCTTGTGGGAACAGCACGGGAATCGTATCAAATGCTTCTCAAAAATGTAACATCCATTGAGTCATGATAAAGGAACGTCACAATTTGCTTACAAATAACAAAGTCATGCACAACAAATGTAAGGTAGCACTGCTGCCAGTAGGAGTTTACATTTTAAAAGGTGACAATCCCATAATTAGCTGTGCACAGGGCCATGGGTCTACCTGCACAAAGTTCTTCACAGGTCAGACATGTGTCCCCTTACAGAAGATGACATACGTTGTTCTTTGTTTTACCTTTTCCATCTCAGACTTAACGGCCATTTACAAACATGCGATCAACGATTTCCACATACATTGTTTGCCCATTTATTTCAGACAATACCTTGTTGGTTTTTTTTTTTTTTTTTTAATTCCACCAAGAATGTTAATCTAGCTTCAAAGGTAAAGAGAAATAGTGCTGGCTGCTTTGTTCTCCCCTTAGTCATGCCAAACAGGAGTTGCTAAAAAGGCACAAAAGATGTATAAGAACAGGTTCCACTAGGAACTTCAAGAAGGTTCATATCTTATTCCAAAATAGAATCCTTTTGTCCCACCATGTTTATGGTTTCTATTGCAAGGAGCACGTTTTGGCAGAGGGTAGTGGCTGGCTTTTTTTGCATCAAGAAACAGAACATTGGCATAGTATTGTCAAGGTTGTGTTCAAAAGAATAATATTCCAGATAAAGGTTGCATTTGTAACCTTATCGTTTTGAGATTATTTTATGCACAAATTCCGTAAGTTTCTTGCAGAAAATACACCACAATGTACCACTTATGAAAGTAGGAACTCTATCATATACATACATACAAGAGACCAAAATACACTGAAGATATAAATCTTGCAAACTTGTATTTTTCATACTAGACTTTGCAAAGGTATAGTATTCATTTCACTTAATTTTTATTTTCTTCTGGCCCGTAGCTTCCCAAGGGACCTACATGGCTGAAGGGGAGGGGGAACTTCATTTGTATTTTTCTTTTAATTAACAAAGTGGAAACCAATCCCATTATGAGCAACCAGAACACCAACCCACCATGTGTAAAGGTTTAAGCTTCTAACCATTACCAGGAAGCAAGTACATAACCCCAACTACAGGCATAAGACTGCTAACATCAGCTAGGCCACAGGAAGAAGCAACGACTCTGGAATAACGACTGTGCTACCCAGTCACTTGCTTGATTTCTCTCACTCTCTTTTTCCCCATTCCCTTCTTCACCCAGGTAAGAAAAAGAAGAAATAAAGTCACTGGGACTATGGGTCAATCCCAAAGTATTCCACGTGTGAAGAGACCTGGCGCAGTACTCCCACCCCCCCACCTCAACAGCTGTCCTAGAGGTTCTCAAGCAAGGAAGGGAAAACTGGCAATTTCAGAAAAGCGTATCTTCCCACAACACGCCAATAGGCTCATCTTGGTCTCGGGCTTCTCTCCTTACCAAATTTCAAAGGCCTGCTGCACACAATAGAGGTGACAGCGCCTCTCAGAAAGGGCCTGCATTAATTTTACATACTAGGAAACATTAAGCAAGCTAACCTAAATACAGAGCTCAGTAGTAAATTCTTCTAGAACATGAAGGAACAAAATGTTCTTGCAATTCTACACAGCATCTGGCAAAAAATACTAACTTTTTTTTTTGGTCAGTGTGGCAGTAGATTTTAACTGCATCTTTGGATTTATGTCACTACTGATTATGGACTTATTCCTTGAAGGAAGCAAATTGCTTACCTGTAAATATATTTGCATGTATAAACTACAGGTAACAACTTATGCACTAAATTTTACAACTTCAATGTACAAATAATTTTTATAAAGTACTGCAGAGTTCCAAGTCGGATAGCTCAAATTTCTAAACTAAAATTAGAATGCAGAGTAAGATCCTAAGGAACTACATTCACTTGTACAAACCCACATTTTGTTATTCCACATAATAATGCTGATAACTACATTATAACTAATGTTATCTTAAAAGTTTTTCAAAACATTTCACATTAACATACCGATCTTTAAAATGTTAGGGTTTAGGAAATCTTTGACAGTCTCAATTGATATAAACACCACAGATCCCCTTTTCTGTCAGCCATCAATATAAATGCCATGGATTCCTTCTCTGTCAGCCATCAACAGCAACCAGAATAGATACACACGAAGAGGGGACTGAATGAACCAACTTTTTTATTGGATCACAATGAACAACATGCCAGATATTCACCCACTGACTCCTTTTTGGAAATTTTGTTTTGGAAACAGCAGATCATTTACATGTGCTCCCCCCACATTCTAAGAGAGAACAAAATTAGCTTTCTGAAGAAAAAAAAAAAAAAAAAAAAAACACACTAGTAGTTTTCACTACTCTAAATGTATCCATGAAATTTTTCACAAACACTGTCTAGAGCCGCATGCTATCCCATGAATCATTTAGGCAATAATGAACAAAAAGACATGCTTTTGTTCAAATCACGCAGTGGGATTACATGTGAAATGACCCTCCATGTGTTAATTGAAGACAAAGCTTTGCTTTGAGCTCATTACCGCTCTTACAGACAGATCGGCAAGTTTAGGAAGTTTAGTGTGTTTCGAGTTCTGAAGCTCAGTAGTCTGTTTTGAAAGTACAGATGCACACCAGGAAACAAGCCCAGGTTTCACAAGTCTCATCACTACTTTCAGAGCAAAAGAAGCAGATAGTGTATGTCTAAAGAAAGGGAAAGGGAGAAAAACAGAACAAAAACACATCTTTGGCAACTTCACAACAGTTCTGTAACATTTGTTATATGCTTTAATAAAGAAAAGAAACAGAAGTTAAGTTTTCTCCTAAATATATTAATCAGGGTGTCTTCAAAAAAAAATATATAAGCAGCCCTCAGTGATAAAGAGCCAGATCGTTTCAGCAAATCTCACTAGGGGTTTGATATTCTAGAGCCATTGACGTGAAGGGAAGCATGATTATGTCTTAATTGAGACTCTAAATAGTGCATTTCAGAAAGCAAAGTAGAACTACCTTGTTTTAATTTATTTTTAGAGAACAGAACACACTGGGTTTCTGAAACTATTTTAAAAGCTATTTTGAGACTGTAACACCAACCCAAACTTGAACAAGTTTCGAGTCACCACATTATTTCAGGAATTCACTGTTCAAATTATTTGAGTGAAAAGATGAAAAAGAGGAAGGGGGAGGGGATCTACAGGAATGTTTGTACTTTCTCCATTTCTGCTTAATCCTGCCAAAAAAAGTGTTCCAGATTGTCATGTCCCCAATATTGTAATTTACATCACCAAATAATAACCAGATTACTAGGAAATGAGCCCAGTTTAGAGTAATAACTCTCAAATTTCAACATTTGGCAGCAAAATATAAAGCAAAATAGCATGAGCAAGCACTTCTGTTACATTCATTTATTTGTTATTAAAAAAAAAAAAAACAACACCACCAGAAACTGCCAACTAAAGCCAGTCATCCTGCTGGTCTAATCCAGTGAGAACACAGTTTGTTATAAATTAAACCAGGAATCTTCCCTCTAAAAAGAGGCTCTGGTACATGAAGCAGAACAGTGATAAAAGAAAGCTGCTAAACTGCATGAAAATAGCATGTAAGAGATTACCCCAGATTTGGTAAATCCTGGCAAATGCGAAATGTTTAGAATTCCTTTCAACTTTAACATCACCACCACCCAGCAACCAGCAGGATGCATTCAGCATCATACAGAACCTGCACTTGTTTTTATCTGGGGGCTTTTAAAAAAGCACAGTAACTGCAAAGTATAAAAATTTGAGATTTCATTCCCAAATAATCTCCTTAATGAGCAGGTGGCATTCTCTAACACCAAATAACTATCTGAATAGTAAGGGTCTGTACTGCAATTAGAACTGATGCCAAAAGGGACATAAATCAAGGAAGAGATGTGGAAACAAGAATTATTCCCCAAATGCGAAGAATTAAAGAGCTACCATTTATAGAATCACATTCCTCATCTGTGTTTTTTACCCTGAATCCAAAAGGTACAAATTACTCTCAAAGCCAGCGACAAGTTTAACTGACTGCCTGTAAAACAATGTTTTTTCAGCTATATGGTTCATCTGCTCCATAACAAAGTTGGTAACTGCAAAAGCTTTTCCCTGGAAATTTCAATGTAATATGCGCTTGTCCTTAATCTCAGTGAAACCAATAGACAATAACATGATCTGCAGTGACCACACATACAGCATCCACTCAGGACTGCTCAAACATTGTGCATGTAACTTTCCACTAGCACTACTCAAGTTTATAAGCAGCTGCATGAAAGTTTATAGAAAAAAAAATAAAAATCAGTAAAAAGGCCATGTATCAGTTTCTGTGATATAAAAAAACCCCACTGAATTAAAGAGGTTGTGAATAATAATTTTTAGAAATTCAGACATGAAGTGAAAACAGCATCTTCTAGACTCTCTTTCAGAGAATACAGTTCCACAATACATGACCACCAGCAGAGAAGCCAGTTTTTATACAGCTTTCTATTCCCATCCTGAAAGCGCAGTTCAGCACCTTCTCAGGGCTGCTGATACAGCTGTTCACCAGCTGTGCTATGAATCACCAAAATGATCACTTAAAAACAGATACTTTTAACCTAGATCATTTCAGTGACCCAGTTTTACAGAGAAGCCTCATAAACAGTACAGGCACAAGTTGAAAATGCCAAAAGGTCCTTACATCCTTGGTAAAGTTCTTACAAAGAGGCACCTCCCCTTTCTCCCAAAGAAAGCACCGGCTGCAATTACACCCTCAAAATGCAAGAAACCCACATGTACAGGAAGCATACTGAAGTCTATCTCAAAGTATCTTTTAAAACTGCCTTGAATTGGTATCTTGATTCCTCAAATACCTTGGAATGAATGTATGTCACCTATTGCATCATTCATAGCCAAGCAAATAGAAAGAACTTACCAAACGTCTAGCAAATTCTTTATTTTCTGAAAGAAATCCATACCCTGGGTGTACCTTGGAAAAAAAAAAATGTCAAGTTGATTGAGTTCTGAAGCCAGACACCAAATTTGCTAGCACCTTTTCAGATACTGGGGAAGATGAATTAGACCACTAGGCATTTAAATTAGTCAAATACCCTAAGAAACTGTCTAAACACTCTGATTTATCTGCCAAAAATCAAGCTGTAAAGACTCACTGGTTGAACTGACATTTCTGAAATATATATTCCTTACTTAACTAGGGAGAAAGGTGCTGTTTGCAGAGCAATGGACACACTACATTTGGTGTTTTGCCTTCTGCTCTTTTTAGCTCCGTTTTGTCACATTTATCTCATTGCAGACTTCCACATATATACTCACCCGCATTCTTCCCAGTAATCACTATTAACTACTCCTCATCCCAAAATTTTTCTAGCACTGATCACAACAGCGGTCTTAAGGTCCACCGTCATAAGGCTCCTATCTCTAGCGACCCTTGCTGGAGAACAGAGTTTACTGTCTCATTAGTCTAAGTCATGCACCCTTACATGCCTCATTTGCTAGTCACACCCCAACATACACCTAGCATAACTACTCGAGAGGAGTGTAAGAAGTTTTCTTTCTACTTTTCTCAATTCACATAAGACTCCTGATGCAATATACTCTGACAGACACAGTTTAAACCATTTTATTCCCCTCTTTTAAAGAGCCTAAACAACTGGGTTCCATATTCTGAAACTCAGAGGGAAGGAAATAGTTTTTTCTTTACAGTCAAGCTTTTGGCCCCTGAAAGCACTATACCAAAACATCATCTTTGTAAGATATTACAATGCTGATCGAGACTGTTCCATGGTAATTAGTGTTGCTCACATACACCCATCAAATTTTATTTTAATAAATGCTCTGTGTACAGTAGCTCTGAATAATACATTTATTTCACTGACAGAACAAAGAACATTAGGCATGTGAACATGACTACACATTAGTTTTTCCAACTGATTCCTGTTAAGCTTTGAATCTCTGGCCAATTTGGAGGGAGAGAGGCAGAATAGCCCACATTTACACATACAAGCTAACGCGCATTTTGTAAACATTCTGAAACAAAAATTATTGCGGGATGCACCATTTACCTTACCTTCCTGCAAATAATATTTATATAATTTAGAAAGTGATCCAAACTAAGTTTAAGCAAAAGCCTTTTCGGACACACTTTGTAAAACGTTCAAAAAAGCCATTATGGCATATAAAGGGTTAGTGCTCAAAACTAATTGGGATTTTTTTTTTTTTTCCCCCAGCAAATTTGGAAATGAACTGAAGCTGCTCCCTGGTGTGAAAGCTGAATCCAGCAGCCACCTGCAGGATCAGCGACCAGTGCTGCCAGATGCTACAAAGCCTTTGATTTCCAGTAGCGATTTCAGACACATTTAACTCATGTGACATGAACTAACTGGAATAGCATATTCAATCACTTCCCCCCCACACCTTTAAAAAAAAAAATACAAACTCTGGCTTTTCTGCTTTCTATATATGAAACAGCTGCAGCAGATAGACTCATTCAGACTCACAGCTTGGGCCCTGGTTTTCTTAATGACTTCCATGATGGCATCCATGTTGAGGTAGCTTTTGCTGGTGGGAGCTGGGCCAACACAGACAGCTTCATCCGCCATTTTCACATGAACCTGAAGAGGCAATATTCTGTATTAACAGATGCTCCCAGCAAAAATAATTACCATCACACTGAAATATGCACACAAATCTGATTGTTTCAAAGATAATTTACATACCACAACCACTCTAAAATACACACTGAAATTACCAACACTGACACACAAGAACTTGCACAATAACATTAAATCTCATTTCATTTAACTCTGAGCTTAAGTCACTGTCAAAATGTTTTATTATTCCAATATATTATTTTGACTTTGATTAAACAAAAATCATGAAAAATATAATTTCAGTCTTCCTATACTGATCATCTATATGTAAATTCAAACCAAAAACTACTTTGTTACATGTAACCAGGGTAGTCTAATATCTTAATACTTAATAACAAACATTCATGACCAGTTCTAAGCAGGCTCCCCAGGAAGTTGGGGATAATTAGAGTGAATTGAATGAAGGGATGCAGTGAGTGTCCCTGCACAGCATCAGGTCAGCACCATGCACAAATTAAAGCCTATGACTAAAGAGTTCAATATCACTGCACGTGAACCAGAAAATCTTGAGAATTATTTAAGCAGGCTCATGTTTGATTCCTAATCCATTGTATCCTCATTTATATGCATTTGCCAAACATTTTTTAGCCAAATCTAAACTATACAAAAGGGACAAATATTTCCAACATTTTACCAGGAATAATAAGATACCTATGTTTGAAGTTAGAAGTCTACTTACAACTCACATGCACACTTACCTTGAAGAAAAAGTTTCAAAAGTTTAATTAGTTTGGTCTTCAACGTGTTTCAAGAGTTAAAATACTTTTCCTTCCAAGTAAGATACACACAGACCCGAGAAACAAAACAATCATTCTTTCCTCATTCTGCTCTGCTTTTGTAAATTCCCTTTCAGTATGTATTTAAGAAAGCATGCCATTGCTTAAAATGTGTAAGATATTAGCTATGTGTCAATAAGGCTGGTTTATACTGACAATTTGACATTTCCAATGCTTACCAATTTTTAAAGTTATTTTTATGAAATATTTGATATAATCTTCATCATTTGAAACTGAGAATATATTGTTTAAAAAGGGTGTTCTTTTAGAAAATGAGTGCTCACTTGTGAAATTTAAAATATTTTTAGTTTATGAACACAGAATTTTGTTCTTTGTGAAAGGGAAATTTATTTGCAAGTAGCATAAGGGCTGCCAAGTATGACAAACTAAGGTTAGAAGTAATGTAGCCCGCATATACTATTGGCTCATTTAGAAGAAACAAGGCCAAGAGGGGAAAAAAAATCATATAGAAATAGTGACAAGCGGTAGCCAAATAGTATTTGAATAATACAAGGAGAAATAAATATTCAGGGTAAATACAACAAACCCATATAACAAGGACAAGAGTCACTTATTAAGCATCTTACTTTTTTCTTCATTCTTATTGACATTTTTCTGAACTTTGCAAAACTTAATCCTTCCACCAGGAAAGAACATTAACTTGCCACCTAATTCCAAGTTTCTTTCTGGGAGACATCTCTTAAATAGCTTTTGAATTTGCTGTATACTCAGGTATATGAGAGTTCACATAACCTCCCGGAGTTACCACACATTTCACATTTGAATTACTGCTTCTGTAAAGTCACAACAGTTTTATTTTAGCACTACAGCATTAGCTTCACATTAAGAACAAAGCAAAATAAAAAAACTCTAAGCACTAGCACAATCATGCAAGCAGGATTTTAATGCTTTTTAGTAAGTACATCTCAGCAACTTAAATCAGTAATCTATTTTGATCAAATGCTATCAAAATTAGCCTGTCTATCATCCCTCCTGGAGCATTATGTACAAGAAATAGCACAGCCCTTGGATACCTTTATTTGCATGATCAATTTATATGCTTAAAGTTGTTTTGAATTCCAACATGGTTTGCATATCTAAACAAAGTTATTCACGCTTAAGCATAGCTAAGCATGTATGTTTTACAAAACCAAAAGCTTCCTTATAGAAAAGGACTAATATAGTTAGCTATCTTTAGGTGTCAAGAGAAAAACCCCACACCTACGCACTCCTCATACTGAGACACCAACAATCCTACTAGTACCCAGAAGTAGCCACAGAAGATACTGCAAACCCACTGATTTTATACTTATGAAGAGTCTTGTGTGGTTTTCCCCCACCATTTTTTCCCTCTTCTGAAACATTTCTCTCTTACTTCAACTCTTTGCAGATTTGACTCTCCCTTTCCCACATTCCCCTGTAACCTGGCAAATCCATTTCTCCCCGTTTACCTTACTGCAAGTTGTTAGTGCCTTTTCTAGTTCAGTGCCAGTTCAGCCTTGCATACACGCTAATACACCACACATGGATATAGCAAGACAGCAAAACCATAGCTATATCACATTCATGTTACCTGATACACTGCCACAGAGCACCAAGCAAATCTCTCAAGGACAAGAGGTCTCCATTCCTCCCCACTAGTTCAAAACCTCCAGATTTGCAGGTTCCAGTGACAGCTCTTCAATCTATGGATCTTTCTCGTATCTACTTTTTTATAAATATGATTAAACCAGCCCAAATGTAATCTGGAAATAGAGATCTGTTTCTCCTTAGTAATTCATTATGACAATTCCCCTCTAAGCATCTGATTTCTTTCACAATGTGTTCATGAAGAATACCCCAAATACCGTAACAAATACACTACAGAATTTACAGTATAGTATAAATGTAATTACATTAACCATAATTACTAGCAAAAATTATAGCAAAAGCCATCATTTGAATCTACATGACAGCTGGAACTTTCCACTTACTACCGAGTGACACATAATTCACGCAATAATTCACTAAACCTTTTCTTCTGTAGTAGCTGACTTATAATGTAATATTTCTAGACAGCCCAAAGAATCCAGCAACTCCAATTCCTCAAACACTACATTTTCAAATTCAAGGGTTGCTTAAGTGCTTGACTTAAATCATGAAATCCTAGGTATTCAAAATTTATCCCTAACTTACTACAGCTAAAACTTCAGAAGTATAATTTCTCCCTTTTCTGTTTTAGTTTACAAAAACAATGTCAACAAAACAAAGAAGCATGTCCCAGAGGGTTCTTGAAGAAATGCAATTCCTCCATAAATATCAAAATTGACCCTGAAATCTCAAGCATGACTGGATAACAACAAAGGCTGAACAAGCAGACAAACCTTAAAGTGTTTAATGGTTTATAGTGCAAGTTTTAATCATATTGGTCTACCTGTGTCTCAAAAGATTTATTTCAGTCAGCTACAAGAACCTGTTATGTTAGAGGACACAAGCAACTAGAAACCATGAAAAAACACATCTTATTTGTATAAAAGCAGTTTAATTTCTGTAAAAGTTGTATATTTGTAGTACTACATTTCATAAGGTCTAATTATATTGCAGCAACAACAGAAACAAGACAAGAGATTCACCAAAACCTACTAATTCATCATTTTGCAGAACCTCCACCTAATTCCAAAACTACAGACTAAATTTAGTCATCCAAATCCCTGTATAGGTCTGTTAAGCTTTTGGAAATCCAAACCCAGATCAGTCACAAACACCCAACCAACCCATCACAGCCTTCTCAATTCTGCATCTATGACAAATAAACTACCAATAATACCCTGGATTTAACAAGGAGTCCTAGCAGAAGAACATAAGAATGAATACTCCTAAATAGTGTAACAACTTTTCGATTAAGGTACAAAGACAACCAGACACAATTTGAAGTACAATGACTTTATTGCATACTATTGAATTCTTCATGACCACATACAGGTACAGGAACTAGATCAAGTTCAACAAGCTTACTAATTCAGAAGCAAACGGTACAAAAATGGCCAGCTCTTTCCAAAGACAGCTTAGGTCCAGGAGTCACCTTCACGGCAGGCACCTAAACCAGTAAATCCTGCCAGATCTTTACACAGGAATAGCACTGAGTTTCTTCACCACGTTTCCAGCAAATAGGCCGGTGAAGCAAGGAGCCCTTCAGTGCTGACCAGCCAGCCGTTTTCGCCCGGGCTGGTTCCAAGCACCGCTCCAGGCTGCAGCAGCTCTCAGGGCGCAGAGGGCGATAAGGGGTAACAACAGTAGCAGCGATTGAGTTTGGAGGTCCTTCTTCTACACTATGTTTCAGTATTTCAGGAGGATTTATAAATCAGGTTCAGTACCAGGGCTCAGCATTATATCCCAGATGAGAAATATGCCCATAACTCAAAATTCTGGATGTAAGCACCACAAAAATACTCAATATCCACTTTGCAGGAGATAACCTGATTTAGAAGGACTGCGCTGAATCAGAGCTAGTAAATACCCAAATTACCTAGATTATGTTAGCTCTCCCTTCCCCTGGAGAGTGGCACGTGTGCTTATTTGACAGCAGCATGCTCTCTTGCCCAGCCATATTCAGAAGTTTAAGGGGATAATTCAGTAAATTCAATCTCAAATAATAATAATTTTGAGAGATAAAAATTAATAGCTTACTACCCAAAATATACATACTACTCCTCGAGATGTTATGTTTAGCACAGCAGATTCAAGCTAACCTTCTCCAGGAGTCATGCTGCTACAGATTATTAGTCGAAATCTATATTATAAACAAGTCACATTTACATATGCATGCCCCTCAACATTTAAACACAGAAAAGTTTTCTTGGTATGGAAATAGAATGTATGAAAAATTATTTTAAGGCAAAGAACTAAACCACTTTCAGTGCATATGTAATCTATAGAACAATGGAAGACAGATATTTTACAGATCCCTAGCATTATAATTGTTCAGCAACTCCAGAGTTTATTACCTTCTTATGTATCTTAATCATCACAGAAGTGCTCTTCTTTCTCCCCAATTTGTTTTATAGCAATTCTCATCTAATTTCAAAAAGTAAAGGCGGACTTTGTCATGACAGCCAATGGAGGAACAAAAAAAAAAAAAAAAAAAAAAGTATCTGCATGTGTTTCCTAATAGAGTGCTTAGTATCACCCACATAGTTTCTACTGATG